GTTAGCTGGTTACCAAGGAAACACTCGAAAATGCATCTATGGAGCAGCAGTTCGAAATAAGCGGAGTGACGATAAAAAAACCCACATTACTGATGGAAATTAAACCTGTAAAAAAAAGTAACATCACTTACCGTATTCGACGTGTGTTATACGCACCCTTAATTATGGGCAATTAAATTCTGGAAAATATATCTCTCGTGTATAATACGCACATACTTTTCTTTGGTATCATTTCAGGCTATCAGCAGAAACCACGAAATTTACGATCTTTCAACTCTGTTTTTCTCACTAAAATTATATTTTAATAAGAGCCCCCTATTTCAAATTTTAAGAGCGCCCTGGGCGCTTATTATGTCGAATACGGTAATGCTTCATCGATTAGAAGTTCGAGTAAACACTGAACACTCACTCACTCACTCACAAACACTCACTCACTCATTGTATGTACGTCAGGCAACGCCCATCCTCGATCATCCGGTGTATCTTATCTCCATTCTATTTGATAAATACCCTGGAATCATTCACTACCATACCTTTCTTATGTTCGTTTGTTGTTTAACGCCGCACTCAGCAAAGTCCAGCTATATGACGGCGGTCTGTTAATAATCGAGTCTGGACCAGACAATCAAGTGATTGACATCATGAGCATCGATGAACGCAGTTGGGATACGATGACATGCATCAACCAAGTCAGCGAGCCTGACCAACCGATCCCGTTAGTCGCCTCTTACGCCAAGCACAGTTGCCTTTTATGGTAAGCATGGGTTGCTGAAGACACGGGTCCGTGTCAAATGAATAAAGCCGCGACAATACGTCGAGACATTTTAACCATTTGTCGCATTGTCGCCATTTCGTAAAAAACACAAATATAATTCGAAGTTGAAACATTGTGGGTTATCCGTAACTGCAGGATTAACATAAACCATATGTCAGTTTGCAGACAAAGCTCATCTTGAATGTCTCAATCAAACTTGCTGGTACTGCCAACTGACCCAAGCATAGCACCCCTTTAACACACATCGTCCGTCTTGTTTATTGGTTGTTCAACGCCACATTCAGCCCTATTCCAGTTAAGTCACGGTGGTAACCTTATTCTATTCTATATTCAAGTTAAGTAACCGTGTCTGAACCAGAAAACCCACTGATTGATATTACGAGAAACGACCCACGCCACGATTGCACGTTACCAAGTCAGCGAGTCTGAGGACCCGATCCATTTCGTCACCTATTACGACCAGCATAGATTGTTGGGGCCATATTCTATAACCCGGCATCCACATGAGGTGATTCCACATATAACGTATTACATGTGAGAAGAGGATCGTATTACATAAGACCTGCATGACTTGTTATATAAATGACGACTGCAGTTAACAAGTCATATTCAGATATCGGATTTAAGCACATGACCAGCGGATCATGTCACGGTTAAGGGAGACAACTTTTCGCGTCGTAAATGGATGCTTTGGAACCACCGGTCCTGCTGGGACCCTATAGTAAATTGTGGTTTTAATATGACATTTTTTAACAAACCAGAGGTTATTGTGATTATTGGTCGTGAGCGTTGACCCTGATAACTGACTGACTGAGTGAGTGAGTATGGTTTTACGCCGCTTTTAGCAATATTCCAGCAATATCACGGCAGGGGATACCAGAAATGGGCTTCACACATTGTACCCATGTCGGGAATCGAACCCGGGTCTTCGGCGTGACGAGCGAACGATTTAACCACTAGGCCAATATGGATGTAAAAAAAAACAAGATTTAGCGTCACGGGGATAAGGTTATTATTGAGTGTTAGTTTATGCTGCAGTTGGTAATATTCAAGCTTTTTCACGGCGGTTTCTAAATAATCGAATCTGGGCCAGGCGAACCTGTGGGCGATAGCAGGAGCAAAATACCCACGCCGTCGGAGTCACTGCATGCAGATATTATCAACCACTGGACCCAGTTGCACAAAGCGATCTTAGCGATATGACTGTCCCAAATCTATCTTGAATCATTGCAGTTTCGTAGCGTTAACATCACTTTGTGCAACTGGGATAAACAATGTAACCACCCGAACCTCATTCTGGTCGACACGCCCAGGACCTTCCCGGCATGCTCTGCCCTGGAATACCCATAGACATACTGTAGCAGGGCGTGACGTCATGCCACAGATGGTCGACATCCTTACCTTGTCAACTTGCTGACCTCTTTGGTCATGTGGACAAGGCGTCCGCCCTCTGCTCAGAAGGTCTGTGGTTCGAACCTCATCACGGGACTTTATTTTATGGCCGCTACAATGCTACCTTACAACACTGTTATGGAACAACATTAGGGAAACAAACAACGTTTCTGTCAATAACATATATAGACCCCGTATCTTCACAACAGCCCAGGATCGTTACATCCGGGTCACTGCAAGTACACCGCATCATCGATTCCTGGTTAGGTCCCCTATTTGTACAGACTGTCTACACCCGTATAAAAGCAGTCCGATTCCGAGCTTGAAGGCCCTACTTTGGCGTTATGCTTCCTCAACGTCATCGACTTTAGCGGCTTCAGTGGTGTCGATGACATAACCAATGGCTTTCCCAACGTGTGTGTTGCGTTTTGTTTTGTTTCCTTCTTCAAAGGAATGGGCGGATCCGTGCTTATCGGCGACGTAATGAGCGTCATACCGGATGTTGCGTACAAGACGTAGATAGATTCGGTGTGGACGCTTCATGATGTAACAGGGGGCACGGGTGGCCCAGTCGTCTAAGGCGCCGCGATTCGCTGTGCAGAGTTGTGTCCCCTGGACACGCCAGAAACCTATGGCTGTGGGTTCGATTCCCGGTTCGCCCCGATTATGTTTCTAGGTTTGTCAGCACCATACCCGTGCTCGTGGGTTTCACCGAAGTGGTAAACGTCTAAGACCTGCATCACTTCGGGCTTTCCTCCCACATTAAGCTGACACGCCGTGATAAAACTGGAATACTGTTAAAAGCGGCGTTAAACCCAACTCACTCACTCACTCATGATGTAACAGTCATCTCCTGTGGGCAAGAACAGATCTGGTTCGTTTCCAGAGCAAATTAACAGGCGTGTGGTATCGTGACGAGATCTTACGCCCAAATGTTGTCTCGATTCTACAAGCACCACACTCAGTATGTACTGATTCCTGGGCGGCCCCGAACAAAAACGTACTGCCGTGACCGTCAGCGCCATCGGACTTCCACTCATGACCACCTGTGGGATAAACTACACAGAGACGTTCACGTTTACGGAGTTACATTTTGGCTGGACTAACGAATCTATGCATAGTCAAAATCGCGTAACGAGCTACACATCCGGTTCGTAAACAACATGGATTTCAACGTGCAGCTTTACGCCGACGGCATGTGTACCGCTAACTTGGCGTCGAAAGATAGTTTGCAAATCTTTTCATGTTTTTAATTATAGAGCTCAAGTGATTTTATGCACTTACTTGTGATGAGACCCGTTTTATTACAATATAGATCTTGATTATCGTTCAGATCGTCTTGACTGGGCGCCGCTATTTTGTTTGAAACAAATACAAGTGATGTGAGAGATGGTATCTGATTGGTCAATAGGAGGGACATGGAAGGGGCATAACTCGTAATAGCCACTGGTGGCGCTACGATCAAGCCTGGAAGTTCCAGCCTAGTTCGGTAAGGGTGCAAACTGGACTGTTATAGTCAGTTAACACCATTGCCTTGGGAACATGGTAATAGTGTTCGTCTGACCGATGTACCATCGTATTCTCGCAAGAGAAAGTTCACGATTAGCCACTTGTGAAACACAAGCGAAAATCGGAACAGATGATGAATGTTTCTGAAAATATGTCAGCTGTACCCAGTGCATGAGTATCGAGGTTTGAGATTATGTCTCATGTTACAAGCAGTATACCACATGTGTGTATAAGGTTGAAAAAGCACTTGATGACCCTGCCGATTCATGGCGATTATTTACAGACCGCCGTTATAAAGTTGGAATATTGCGGCGTTAAACAACAAACAAACAAACAAAACAAAATATGATGCATTTAAAAGAAGTGATTGAAGACTTTATTTCAAAAGGAGAGGTCATTATAACTACACTTTACGTCATCACTGTAAAGAACATTGATGGGGTTGACATCAGTAAATAACCTAAGTTCCAGTTAAAATATATCCTGATTAATAGATATCCGAAGATGCAATTTGAACAGTTACTGAACTCATTTGGACATGGTGTTTACATAACATAAAAACATGGCCAGTTTTGCAAATTACTCTATCGGAGTATGATACATGGCGAAGTGTGATTCGCGTTTGAAACAATTAATGCCCTCTCGTCTCTTCAGTTCATTTCACAATGATTTCTTTTGTAAAGCAGGTACTTGTATATTATTCAATATGTAGAAAGCCAAATAATTCTTATATACTCACCATCAAAAGAAACGCGAACCATAGAAACATATAGAGAAGTATGTACGTTAAGAAGAGATGTTTCCAATGTGTACCAATGATTTGCAAAACTAACAATCAGTCGAGTGTTACCACAGAGTGTCTTTATTCTTACGCGATGTGTAGCACGTGATTTTCAAACTTCACACGCTAATCCTGCACGAGACAAATGGTGCATCTCGATTCATGGATCTATAACGCCACATGTGATACATTCATGAACATCGGTTCACACAACATACCGGTATGTTCGTTTGTGCATCGAACCAATCTAAATCCACTTGAATATGAGTGAGTCTTCATATATTAACCATATGTATGGTATTCGCGTTTCTTTTGGCGGTGAGTATACTTTAGCCACCATACATCAGACAACTCAGCCACGCAAGCACGAAGACACCAATAAACCATGCATGAAGACGCCGAGGCAAAATGCACCAAGACACCCAACCAACCGAGCACGAGGTCATCTCGCCTACAAAGCACCAGGACACCAAGCCTCCCAATCACGAGGACACCTAGCCACAGGACACCCAGGCAGCCAAGCACGAGGACAACCAGCCACCGATGCACGAGGACAACCAGCCACCGATGCACGAGGACAACCAGCCACCGATGCACGAGGACAACCGGCCACCGATGCACGAGGACAACCCGCCACCAGCACGAGGACACTTAACCACCAGCACGAGGACAACCAGACAACGATGCACGAGGACACCTTACCACCAGCACAAGGACACCTAACCACCAGCACAAGGACACCTTACCAGCAGCACAAGGACACCTAACCACCAGCTCGGGGACACGAAGCAACCAGCACGAAGACACCAAGCCACCAGCACAAGGACACCTAACCACCAGCACCAGGACACCTAACAACCAGCACAAGGACACCTAACCACCAGCACCAGGACACCTAACCACTAGCTCGGGGACACCAAGCAGCCAGCACGAAGACACCAAGCCACCAGCACAAGGACATCTAACCACCAGCACCAGGACACCTAACAACCAGCACAAGGACAACTAACCAATAGCACCAGGACACCTAACCACCAGCACAAGGACACCAAGCCACCACAACCAGGACACCTTACCACCAGCACGAGGACACCAAGCAGCCAGCACGAGGATACCAAGCCACACGCACAAGGACACCTAACCACCAGCACCAGGACACCTAACCACTAGCACAAGGACACCAAGCCACCACAACCAGGACACCTTACCACCAGCACGAGGACACCAAGCAGCCAGCACGAGGATACCAAGCCACCAGCACAAGGACACCAAGCCACCAGCACAAGGACACCAAGCCACCAGCACAAGGACACCAAGCCACCAGCACCAGGACACCAAGCCACCAGCACGAGACACCTAACCACCAGCACCAGGACCCCAAGCCACCAGCACCAGGACAACTAACCAATAGCACCAGGACACCAAGCCACCAGCACAAGGACACCAAGCCACCAGCACAAGGACACAAAGCCACCAGCACCAGGACACCAAGCCACCAGCACGAGGACACCAAGCCACCAGCACCAGGACACCTAACCACCAGCACAAGGACACCTTACCACCAGCACAAGGACACCTAACCACCAGCTCGGGGACACCAAGCAACCAGCACGAAGACACCAAGCCACCAGCACAAGGACACCTAACCACCAGCACCAGGACCCCAAGCCACCAGCACGAGGACACCTAACCACCAGCACCAGGACCCCAAGCCACCAGCACCAGGACACCTAACCAATAGCACCAGGACACCTAACCACCAGCACAAGGACACCTTACCACCAGCACAAGGACACCTAACCACCAGCTCGGGGACACCAAGCAGCCAGCACGAAGACACCAAGCCACCAGCACAAGGACACCTAACCACCAGCACCAGGACACCTAACAACCAGCACAAGGACACCCAACCACCAGCACCAGGACACCTAACCACTAGCTCGGGGACACCAAGCAACCAGCACGAAGACACCAAGCCACCAGCACAAGGACATCTTACCACCAGCACCAGGACACCTAACCACCAGCACCAGGACAACTAACCAATAGCACCAGGACACCTAACCACCAGCACCAGGACTCCAAGCCACACGCACCAGGACACCTTACCACCAACACCAGGACACCTTACCACCAGCACGAGGACACCAAGCAGCCAGCACGAGGATACCAAGCCACCAGCACAAGGACACCAAGCCACCAGCACAAGGACACCAAGGCACCAGCACCAGGACACCAAGCCACCAGCACGAGGACACCTAACCACCAGCACCAGGACACCAAGTCACCAGCACGAGGACACCTAACCACCAGCACCAGGACAACTAACCAATAGCACCAGGACACCTAACCACCAACACCAGGACACCAAGCCACCAGCACGAGGACTCCAATGCACCAGGACCAGAACACCAAGCCACCAGCACCAGGACACCTAACCACCAGCACGAGGACTCCAAGCCACAAGCACGAGGACTCCAATGCACCAGCACGAGGACTCCAAGCCACCAGCACCAGAACACCAAGCCACCAGCACAAGGACACCTAACCACCAGCACGAGGACTCCAAGCCACCAGCACCAGAACACCAAGCCACCAGCACAAGGACACCTAACCACCAGCACGAGGACTCCAAGCCACCAGCACCGGGAAACGGTCACCTAACCACCAGCACCAGGACACCTAACCACGTGGCTATCGTGTGAAACTGCACACTGCCACCACAACCAGGACACCTAACCACCAGCACCAGGACACCTAACCAATAGCACCAGGACACCTAACCAATAGCACCAGGACACCTAACCACCAACACCAGGACACCAAGCCACCAGCACGAGGACTCCAAGCCACCAGCACGAGGACTCCAAGCCACCAGCACAAGGACACCTAACCACCAGCACGAGGACTCCAAGCCACCAGCACCAGGACACGGTCACCTAACCACCAGCACCAGGACACCTAACCATCAGCACAAGGACACCTAACCACCAGCACGAGGACTCCAAGCCACCAGCACCAGAACACCTAACCACCAGCACGAGGAAACCTAACCACCAGCACGAGGACGCCAAGCCACCAGCACGAGGACACGGTCACCTAGCCATGCAGGTCAGTTCTACTATTGAAGCTCTACAAGAGAAAGCGTGGCTATCTTTACCAAAGATTCTCGACTGTTGTATCCTTGACTGTGTGGCAGATACAGGCAAGTCTATTCTTTAAATCAGTTGTTGAAAGACTGTGTGAGTGTGAACAATGTTCGTTGCAACTGCTTTCGATTTAGCCACCGAACAGTGACAGCTTGAAACTGCACATCCTAAGAGCCAATTATTATGCAACGATCCTCCGTAGCTGTCTACAATGACATACATCTGCACAGGACTTAACATTATACGGAATGCCATGTCGACTCAACTGCACCTGACAATAACCCCTAGAGGAGATGCAGCAAGTTCTATTGTACCTCGACCAAACGCTTGTGTAAGAAGGCAGGCATTAAATCCACAGAGGTTCTAATCGCATAATGCAAGGAGGCGACGATGTTAACGTTGCCAATGATAGTAAGTGTTGATAGTGAGGACTGAGAAAGGACTGGAAAGGACTGGATATAAACCTATCTTTCAATTGACAAGGCATCTTTAGCTATTCAGGAAAACATCACTTTAAGTAACGGGTGTGGATTTGACATGCACGCGTTCTTTTCTTTAAAATAAAATAAAATATGACTTTAAACTCTATTGTTGATACTAAATTTCATTATTTTGTTAATTTAAAATGTGGAAATACTGTGTATAATCTATATTGAGGGAAACAAAGCTTTAACGATTACATGCAGCTTCATTAGGAGCAGACCCGTGAAGATCCGGGATAGAATAGGTCTTCACCAACCCATACTTGCAGTAAAAGGCGACTATGCTTGTCGTTAAGAGGTGACTAACGGGATCGGGTGGTCAGGCTCGCTGACTTGGTTGATGCATGTCACCGTATCCCAATTGCGTAGATTGATGATCATAATGTCAATCATTGGATTGTCTGGTCCAGACTCGATTATTTACAGACCGCCGTCATATAGCTGGACTATTGTTGAACAAACACAATCATTAGGAGCATATGACAAATGAAAGGAAGTTATGTCATTACGTCATAGTCAACAGATCGGTCCCTCAACAAACAGCCACGCTATTAGGTAATGAGTACATATTTGTAGCAGAACATAAAAGTTCGTTCCAATGATTCTTTGGATATAGTGTTCTTGCATTCGCCAATATGTTGAAGCACTTTAAAATTTTGACAGCCTTTATGGATCTCGTCCCAAAGAATGCAGAGAAAATGTCAACCCCTTTCAGTCTTTGAAACGACTATTTCTCCGGAAAAGAAAACTCGACGTTCGAATGAGTTGTGACCAACATATACCTTGGTCGTTCTCGTTCTTCATGCTGACCTGACCGCCTCCGTGGTCTAGTGGTAGAGCGTCCACCCGGAGAGCGGAAGCTCCGTGGTTCGATCCCCGGCCGCGTCATACCAAAAGACGTTTAAAGATGGTACTTGTTGTTACCCTGTCTGGCGCTCGGCATTAAGGGGCTAAAACAAGGACTGGTCGGCTCGGAGTCAGTAAACTGTGTCTGAGTTGGATATTCATATTAAACTGCGGCATGGAATCTCAGTGAGCTAGCACTATAAATCGGCATCAGTCCGGACTAGTACAAGCAGCCACACACGCACACACGAGCATGCACGTCGCTATACAAGTGCAATAATCTTGGACGCGATGTTAAACCCAATTTCACTTCACCTCACCTCATGTTGACCTCACTGAACATTCCGTGGAGTTCCAGTGCTGAAAAGAAACCTGCCCGGTTTTAAACAGTCATACATTCTAAATATAAATCTACGATGCTCAATTGTATAGTTGCGTTTTCAATTTCGTCAGCATATTACAAAGATCGACTTTAGCAAAATGTTAGCGGAGACGGAGGATTTGACACTACAGATAGATATATGTATATGTTAGCCTACGACGAGCCGTTGTCTAATCGTGAACGTCCATCACGTCAGCGAATAGGTTGTTATCGTGGTGCGTTACCTCGTGCCTCGCTGAAACCGTTTACAACATGTCCTGTCTTGATATTGACACAAGTAGCGTCAAGGTGAGGTGAGGTGAAATTGGGTTTAACGTCGCGTCCAAGATTATTGCACTTATATAGCGACGTGCATGCACGTGTGTGTGTTTGTGTGGCCGCTTGTACTAGTCCGGACTGATGCCGATTTATAGTGCTAGCTCACTGAGATACCATGCCGCAGTATAACATGAATACCCCACTCAGACACAGTATACTTACTCCGAGCCGACCAGTCCTTGTTTAAGCCCCTTAATGCCGAGCGCCAGACAGGGTAACAACAAGTACCATCTTTTAACGTCTTTTGGTATGACGCGGTCGGGGATCGAACCCCGGACCTTCCGCTCTCCGGGCGGACGCTCTACCACTAGACCACGGAGGCGGTCAAGTAGCGTCAAGACATACTCAGTAAGAATCACTTGTGTTTGTTGGTTTGTTGGTTGTTCAACGCCACATTCAGCGATAGCCCAGCTTTATGACGGCGACCTGTAAATAATCGAGTCTTGGCCAGGCTAATCCAGTGACTGACGTCATGAAGATCGATCTACGCAATTGGGTACTATGACATGCATCAACCAAGTCAGCGGGCCTGACCATCACAGCCATTAAGTCTCGTTCAGTCTCGTAGTCGACTCTTACGACAAACATGAGACGCGGATACGCTTATTAAATATAGGTCAGTTAAACCTGTTCCTTGTTATAACAAGTGTTTATTAAGAAGCCCAAGGTCATACAATGTCATTACACAATCGCTAGGTATTACCTCACAGGTTAAAAGCTAAAGTCTGCTTCAAAGAAGATATGGGAGTGCCCGTTGAGGTGGCGTTTAACTATTCTGTACCAAATTCATGATACCAAAATCTTATTATTGATATCACAATACCATTTATGATATAAACTTATTATTGATAAAATAAAATTATATTTATATCACAAATTCGATGTTACATGTATTGAGGTGTGTCGGTCATGAAATAATGTCACAAAAAATGGGGGCGGCAGAAAATGATAGTCCATAGGCCAATCTCACCACCCACCCACCCCTGAAATAAATGGGTGGTACACACTTAACAGCTTGCTTGAAATACGTGAGTGAGTGAGTGAGTAAATATGGTTTTACGCCGCTTTCAGCAATATTCCAGTAATATCACGGCGGGGACACCAGAAATGGGCTTCACACATTGTACCCATGTCGGGAATCGAACCCGGGTCTTCGGCGTGTCGAGCAAACGCTTTTACCACTAGGCTACCCCACCGCCCCGCTTAAATTAAGCACAACATATTCTTGTCGTAAAAGGCGAGTAACGGGATCGGGTGGTCAGGCTCGCTGACTTGGTTGATGCATGTCATCGATCCCAGGACTGTGTGTGGCTTCGAACTCACTGAACATCCCTCGAAGTCAGTAGATTTGGCACCGCCAGGTTTCCACCATTAACCTAACTGTCATACAAGAAAGAACTGTC